GAGAGACTGACTGAGAGGGAGAGAGAGAGACTGACTGAGAGGGAGAGAGAGAGAGACTGAGAGGGAGAGACACAGACTGAGAGGGAGAGACACAGACTGAGAGGGAGAGACACAGACTGAGAGGGAGAGAGACTGAATGAGACTGACTGAGACTGTGAGAGAGAGACTGAAACTGGGGGGAGGGAGAGACTGACTGAGAGATACTGACTGACTGACTGACTGAGAGAGACATGGAGACGGGACTGGCAGGCTTAATGGGCGAGGGAGCCAGGACTGGCGAGGTGTGCAAGACATACGGGACGGGCGAAGGAGACTGGAGTGGTGGGCGGATTGGGCAAGAGACAGGAATGGCTGGCCAGTGTGGATTAGGAGATAGAGAAAACTGACTGATAATGAGAGTAAGGGTCAGAGACTGGGGGTGGCGGAGAAATCATTGCTTACATCTGACAGTATTGCCCCCGCCGGGAGCAGACAGATTGATTTCCTGATCCCAAATTAGCAAGTTTGGGAGGTGTGAAGGTAGACCCAGACTTTTTTGGGAGGTGTGAAGGTAGACAGACTTTTTGCTGAGTAATCCTATTTTACAGATTGTAAACATAAGCAACAATAGTGCCACACAGCAGACTTTAACCTACCCGTGACCCACATTTAAATGAACACTCCAGGCACCCAGACCACTTCTGCCCATTGATGTGGTCTGGGTGCCAACTCCCACCACCTTTAACACTGCAGGTGTAATTATTGCAGTTTTTATAAATTATATAATTACCTTGCAGGTTTAAGTCCTCTTCTAGTGGCTATCTATCAGACAGCCATTAGAGGGACTTCCGTGTTCTTAGAACACGAAAAGTGTTTTAAACGACGATGGACGTCCTCACGCTATGCATGAGGACCTCCAGCGTCGCCTGAATCCCCGTAGGAAAGCATTGAAGAATGCTTTCCTATGGGGAGGTCTAATGCGCGCGGCCATTTCCACGAATGCGCCTTAGGTGTCCCCCGCTGGCTGATGTTGGCGGGGAAGGAGCGTGGGCGGAACCTGACTCAGTGCCGAGGGACATCGGCGCTGGATTCGGGTAAGTTACTGAAGGGGTTACTGCAGTGCCAGGAAAATTTATGTTTTCCTAGTACTGGAGAATCCCTTTAATGTTATCTGGTGTGGCTGTCTCATTGCTTTTGTTTCCTTTAAAGACTGGAAGAAGCCTGGGTGCTCCCATCATGAGACGTGGTGATCTCAGCCAACCACAATGCTTTCCTATTGGATTGGATGAGATTGCCATGGGGCAGGAGGTGGAGCCAAAAAATGTCCTGGCCAATCAGCATCTCCTCATATATATTAATTGAATCAATGCATCTCTATGAGGAAAGTTCAGTGTCTGCATGCAGAGGGTGGAGACACTGAATGTCAGTCACACTGTGCAGCACTGCCCCAGGAAGCACCTCTAGCAGTCATCTGAGGCTTAGTGGAGGTATCCCAAGGCTGTAATGTAAACACTGCATTTTCTACGAAAACACAGTGTTTACTGCAAAAAGCCTGAAGGGAATGATTCTACCCACCAGAACAAATACAATATTTAAATGCCAATCAAATGCTTCTTATAGAGATTATGGGTTTTATTGTGATTTGGATGATATTCTATGAAAAGCATTGGATTGAAGATGGGTCACGGTAACTGATGATTTGATCAAAATGGAGTGAGGCGAGGAGACAGCCCAGAACTGGATGTGTTTTCTACAAATTTTGTAGGGAGGAGCCTGCTAATCTAAACCCATTACACACACAATAACATTAATGGGTCACTCTGCCTTTGGAATTGGTCATGCAACCCATACATACATTTGGCACATGTGACATGGTCAGCCCTGAAAAGAAGTTCCAGATGTTAAATCTGTACAAAAATGACGTCTGTCGTGGCCGTGATCCACAGACTTTATCAGCTTCTACCCTTGCAGACTGCGCTGTGAGCATTACTTTGGGGTGAGGGGGTAGAGTTTGATCTCACAGCCTCACTGCATTTTAAGCAACTGGCTTTTTAAAACTTTTTAAATTTAATTTAATACTCGCCCCTTGTCTGCCCCCCACTCCATCGCGTACACGTGTGTTCTGGGCCTGGCAGAATGGTCCAATCAAATGATTCTCTTCGAGGAGCATTTCATTGGATCTTGTAGTGGCATGACCACAGACAGGTTGAGCGAAGAGAATCCGGTTCTGGATTCAATGTAAGTTGTTTTTTTTTTGTTTGTTTGTTTGTTTTATTTTTTTATTATTATTATTATTATTATTTTTATAATAATTTAAAGGGTTTAGTTCATAAAACGCAGGATGGGCAACGGGCATTATAATTTAAAAAAACATTGGAAAAAAGGTTATAGTAACTCTTTAACAGTAAAGATATTTATTTTTGTCAATACAGTATTTTTGAAGTGTTATTCACAAAACTTTGAATTCTCTGTGGAATTTCAAATTTTAGCCTAAAATAGTGTTTGAGAATTTTCCCAATTTGGGTACATCAGCAACAAAAGAAAATGCAATGTCTCAGCATAGTGTGCTGTTTCTATGGAGGAATCTGTTATTCTGCTGTGATTGAATAGGTCTGCCAGAGGTTTCCTGGCTTTTGTGTGCTGGCCCCACAGTGGTCTGTAAGTGTTTGTAATGGGGACTCATTTTCTCCTCAGGGTTAACTGCTCATTTTACTTTAAGATCGGGGCGTGTCGCCATGGGGATAGATGCTCACGTCTACATAACAAGCCCACCTTCAGCCAGGTATGTTTACTTTTCCCATATTACTCCGTCCTCTCCCCTGGTCATATTGTCCTAGCATGTGCTGCTGTGCCCAAGCCAGATGTTTCTCATCTTATTTTGTGAGAATAGGGCTCTCATGAACGCTCATACAGAAGCACTGACAACATTTCAACTTTATCTTACGAAGGGTTCCTTTCATTGTATGTATGTTTACTTTCTAGTTATCAGCGCCTGCTCACTATGCAATTTGTGCTGTTAAATCCACTTTAAACCCTTTCCATGACCCTATTCTGTAATAATGGCTGTGATGGATTTGTGCATTGTTGTGAGACAGCAACACACAGTGTGAATAGTCCCACCCTTAGCATAATTAATAATCACTTGCAATGTAAACATACATCAAACAGCAGTTTCATTTAATCAGCACAACCTGTAGTATTTACAATATTTCTCTTTAAGTAAGAAAAAATTGGGATGAATTGTAGACAACTGAAAAATTTTGCCATGTACTGGAACAGGTTAACTTGCATCTGTACAAGTCAAATGAAAGACCCCAGCTTGAATTTGGGGCGCAGTATAGGACACCAATTGTTAAACAACATTTATAAGGGAAATAGACGATTTGAGAACGTTTCCTGATTTTAGATGAAAGATCTCTAATGCTGTGAGTCCCTGTCCCAGAGCCCACACTGTATGGGTGTTATCCTAATGTGTACCAGGCAGGATAGGTTCCAGCGAAGTACTATTTATTCCTGGCTTGTGTTTTGGAACCCTCGAACATTAAAACTATAACCACTCCATTATTCTTATGTTTTAGACAATAGCTCTGTTGAATATCTACCGCAATCCACAGAACTCGTCACAGTCAGCAGATGGACTTCGCTGTAAGTTAAATAGCAGCTGTTTCATTAATGGTTTCTCTGTTATATCTTCCATACTCTGTCTCTCTCCTTCTCCAGTGCGCCCTGCGCTGTCTCTCTGTGCGCCCTGCGCTGTCTCTCTGTGCGCCCTGCGCTGTCTCTCTGTGCGCCCTGCGCTGTCTCTCTGTGCGCCCTGCGCTGTCTCTCTGTGCGCCCCGCGCTCGCTGTCTCTCTGTGCGCCCCGCGCTCGCTGTCTCTCTGTGCGCCCCGCGCTCGCTGTCTCGCTGTGCGCCCCGCGCTCGCTGTCTCGCTGTGCGCCCCGCGCTCGCTGTCTCTCTGTGCGCCCCGCGCTCGCTGTCTCTCTGTGCGCCCCGCGCTCGCTGTCTCTCTGTGCGCCCCGCGCTCGCTGTCTCTCTGTGCGCCCCGCGCTCGCTGTCTCTCTGTGCGCCCCGCGCTCGCTGCCTCTCTGTGCGCCCCGCGCTCGCTGCCTCTCTGTGCGCCCCGCGCTCGCTGCCTCTCTGTGCGCCCCGCGCTCGCTGCCTCTCTGTGCGCCCCGCGCTCGCTGCCTCTCTGTGCGCCCCGCGCTCGCTGCCTCTCTGTGCGCCCCGCGCTCGCTGCCTCTCTGTGCGCCCCGCGCTCGCTGCCTCTCTGTGCTGTCTCTCCGTGCCCTGTGGACTCCTGCTGCCTCTCTGTGTTCCCTGCCCAGTGTCTCTCTCTTTGCCCTGTGCACCCTGTGGACTTCCTTCTGTGTGCTCTGTGCAGTCTCTCTCCGTGCTCTGTGGACTCCCTGCTGTCTCTCTGTTAGCGCTGTGCTGTCTTTTTGTGTACTACTCTCTGCCCCCGGCATCTAACGCTCCACCCCCAATATCTTTCCTGCCACAGGTGCTGTGAGCGATGTGGAAATGCAGGAACATTATGACGAGTTCTTTGAAGTAAGTGCTTTACGAGGACTCCTAGTGGTTACTTTGTGTACTGAATTATTTTATCTCTGTGGTGTCTTATTTGGACAGGGATATTTCATTGCAATACTTGTATTCCTAACGCTATAGTGTTCTACTCTCGATAGCAGTCCATGTTCTGTGTGTCAGGATTATAATACAGGAGAGTTATATGTAATGCATAAAACGTGTAATCCCGATAGCAGCCCATGTTCTGTGTGTCAAGATTATAATACAGGAGAGTTACGGTATATGTCACATATAGAACGTGTAATCTCGATAGCAGCCCATGTTCTGTGTGTCAGGATTGTAATACAGGAAAGTTATATATCACGCATAGAATGTGTAATCTCAATGGCAGCCCATACTTCAAGTTAACTGTTTCTCCAGATATATGTAACTCTGGGATGTGTAGAGAGGAGCAGCGTTTTCTTCTTGCTGTCCAGTCTGGGTGTATCTGTGCAAATAATCTGGGTGTATCTGTGCAAATAAGCACGTCCTGTATCTTGAAAACTTGATAAAACATTTTGAAACTTTTTTTTTTTTTTTTCACAAACAAAACTAGGGTTAAGGAGGTGATATTGTTTTGCTTATTGGACAGCGTCTCTTTTTTTTTTTCTCCTTAGGAAGTGTTCACAGAGATGGAAGAGAAGTACGGTGAAGTGGAAGAGATGAATGTTTGTGATAATCTCGGGGATCACCTGGTGGGGAATGTCTATGTGAAGGTAAGCTGCTGATCTGTTCCTCAGACCTCTGTCCCCTAGGTGCCTGCTGGGCCCTGCCTCTGATTAAGGGCAGCTGTTTTTTTCTCATCTTGTCTTATTTGTTTTGATCCCTTGTGTGTATAACTATAATTTACTATCGGGATTACTGTATAGCCTGGATGACAAATAAGCAACGTATTACCGGTCCTTAGAATGGCCGGATTTAACGTACATAGAATAGTAAAAATACTAGCTGAGGTCAGGGAACACAGAAAGGGACGCAATGATGAGGAAAGCCAGGAGTCAGGATACCAGAATACAGAGAAGTCAATAAACAAAGCCAAAGTCAAAAACCAGTAGAAAACTATAAACTGGAACGCGCTCTCGGACAACCACATGGGAAACCACGACAGGGCACTGAGTGGAGGTCAGACTAGGTTTTTATATCCATCCTCCCTTTCCCATTGGTCAGCCCGGTTTTTTGGCTCCAAAATGTGTGTGTGCACGCGCGGGGGGGTTATTTCCGCCCGTGGATGTGCAGCGGCCAATGCCAGACTATATGCTGAGACAGTTAGGACTGCAAGCTTCCAGCCGCTGAGCACCAGGTGAGGGAAAAGTGACAATTACATAGCATGTAACTACTTTAAAGGAACACTGCAAAAGTGTATACCAAACCCTATATTGTTAAAAACACTATTTAGGTGGCCACACCTTACTTTAAAAGCTGTAAAACTCACCTTTATTCCAGCAATGCTCCTCCCTTGTCCCGCCTCCTTGGCTGAGATAATCAGAATTGACAATCTCAGCCAATCCAATGCATTCAATTGTCAATTCTGATTATCTCAGCCAAGGGGGCGTGGGGCAGAGTCAGACACCACACTGGCCAATCAACATCTCCATTGAATCAATGCATCTCTATGAGGAATGTTCAGCAGGAGACACTGAACGTCAGTGCTGCACATTGTGTAGAACTGACTCGGGAAGCACATCTAGTGGCTGTCAGTGACTTCCCTAGTTTGAAAAGGCAGTGTTTACATTTAAAAGCCTGCAGGGACTGACTATAGACACAAGAACCGCTATATTAAGCTGTAATTGTTCTGGTGACTATAGTGTTCCTTTAAGTGTCAGTAGGAGAAATGGTGTCCTGGGTAATAGAATGCAAAGATAGTAATTTTTAAAACATAACCAGTAATATGTAATTTAAAAACCGTACCCATTAAATAATGAGAGAGGTGCTTACGGTAAAAACACATGAAACAAAGAAATCTAAATTGAAATCCTTCTTTTCACTTTGTTCACGTTATTACTGCTCGTACATTGCATGTGTCAGCACTGTTCTCTCACCCTGTGTAACCATCCTAACCCTTCCAGTTCCGCCGGGAAGAGGATGCAGAAAAGGCTGTGAAGGATCTGAACAATCGTTGGTTTAATGGTCAGCCCATCCATGCAGAGCTGTCTCCAGTCACTGATTTTAGGGAAGCATGCTGTCGCCAGTATGAGATGGGGTGAGTAACAAGTAGTCACAGAGTATGGGATTATCACTCGATCACGTTCACAGCATTATACAATGTGTTTTGTGTACAATGTTATTTTCTTTTTTTGACAATTTCTTTTTTTCTTTTTCTGTTTTTGTGGTTAGCGTAACAATCTTTACTTATTTAGGCATATTCTAAAATAGGCCTTGCTTATATTATATTATATATTTAAATGGACACTATAGGCACCAAACCAACTTTAGCTCAATGAAGCAGTGTTGGTGTATAGATCATGCCCTGCAGTGTCACTGCTCAGTTTAGAATGTATCTGCTGCTCTGTTAATAGCCTATTAAAGCCTGCAAGAGCCTCCAGTGTGGTTAAAGTTCACTTTGGGATCTGCTTATTACCCCCTCCCAGACTCTTTGTGTTATTTTATTTATTTGTCTTTTGTATGTAGTGCTTTCACATTTTCAGCCAACTAAAATGTTTCAATACGTAGAGAGAGAATATATTGATGTAAATACACAAAAAGTAGATTCTAAAATATTTAAGATGTGAATGTAAGAGTGTAAGATGATATCTATGTAGATTTGTGTAAAGAAAAATTGCTGAGACATCGCTGAATACAAATATGTGCATTTTATTGCAGTAAAAACTAACAGTATTATGACATTCACAGTTAAAATGCCACACAAAACTAAATTTTTTTTTTTTTAAAGTTCCCTTTTTTAAGATTTTATTCACAGTAAATTGTTTTATATATGAATAGTTCATGTGAAATTAAATCCCTATTTCTCCTGAACAAAATATGTAATAAGTATGGATGCACTTAATATGAAAGAGGTGAATTACAGTTGAACACACATATTTTATATACAAACACCCCTTCATTCAAGCACCAACACTACTTACAAAAGCACACCTTTATTTAAAATCCATCACTACATACTAACACCACTGCATTCAGACGCAGACACTACACAAAAGTACACCGCTAGATTCCAATGGCAACATACGTGTGCATCCATACATATACTTCATACAAAAACATGCTTACATTCAAACACTGCTCACAAATACAACCCTACAACGGTGGGCAAATGGTAGATCCCCAGCTGGCATAGCATTGTTGGAGTTCTCCGACAGATGGGGATCTACCACTGGGATACTCAACATGAGATGAGTCTGTGAGTAACTAGTTGCATGCCTCTAAAACTGATTGCCACAACGTACCAAGTTTATGCCTATGAAATGCCAAAATTACGCCTCTAAACTGCCATGATATACCAATTTTATGCTTCTAAAACCGATTGCCATGGTGTGCCAAATGTATGCCATTAAAACTGATTGCCATGGTGTGCCAAAAGTATGCCTCTAAAACGGATTGCCATGGTGTGCCAATTGCATGCCTCTAAAACTGATTGCCATGGTGTGCCAATTTTATGCCACTAAAACTGTCATAGTGTGCCAATTGTATGCCTCTAAAACTGATTGCTATGGTGTGCCAATTGTATGCCTGTAAAACTGATTGCCATGGTGTGCCAATTGTATGCCTCTAAAACTGATTGCTATGGTGTGCCAATTGTATGCCTGTAAAACTGATTGCCATGGTGTGTCAATTCTATGCCTCAATAGCCAAATGCCATAGTGTGCCAATTTTATGCATCTAAAGCTGCCGTGGTGTGCCAAGTTTATTCATTTTGAAAATATGCATTAAAACCTAGTGGGTTTAAAATAATTATCGTTTTCAAAAATATCTGGGACAGAGTATAGCAGATATTTTAATCATTGATTTTTACTGACACCTAGTGGATCACTCGTGATATAACAACTGTATAAATACTTGGTCACTAATAGATATATGAATTTATTGCACTTGTCTTGAAACAAATCAATTTGTTGATTCATTTGGAAAAAGTCTTTTGCCTGGTGGGCAAATAGTGGGATGATTCCATTCATATGCAACGAGTGCACTAATTGATAGAGCAAAACACAAACTTTATATATTTATAAGATGTTATAAATATTTGAATACTTGCATCAAGTTGAGGTGTTGAATGCTTGCACTGTTGCGGGTTTGGTTATGATGTGAGTGTTGGATTGGCACGGCACTAGGTGTGGTTATAGATATGTCAGTATTGGATTGGCACGGTTTGGGGGTAGATATAGGCATGGTGGGGGGTAGATAATGTGTAGGTCAGTGTTGGATTGGCACAGCATGAAGGAATATATGGGTATGATGTCTGTGGGATTGGCACGCTGTGAGTGAATATATGGGTTGGCACGGCATGGTGGTAGATAGCGGTATGATGTTAGGGTGGGATGTTACATTACAGTTTGTGATGCTGGCGTGGATATTTGCGTTAACCTCAGTTATTGGATGGTGGGAGCTTATGGGACCAATGGCAGCGTAGATGCTTCTATGAGGTTGGGTGTTGGTTGCTGGCGTGCCGAGGCATTGTAAGAGTAATGTCAGTGTAGATATTTTTATGTGGTTACGTGTGTGTTGCTGGCATGCTATAAGGTTGGGTGTGGGTTACTGGCGTGCCATGGCAATGTAAGCGTAATGGCAGTGTGGATATTTTTATGTGGTTACATGTGTGTTGCTGGCATGCTGGGGTGTTCTGTGAGGTTGGGTGTGGGTTACTGGCGTGCCGAGGCATTGTAAGCGTAATGGCAGTGTGGATACTTTTATGTGGTTACGTGTGTGTTGTTGGCATGCTGGGATGTTCTGTGAGGTTGGGTGTGGGTTACTGGCGTGCCGTGGCATTGTAAGCATAATGGCAATGTGGATACTTTTATGTGGTTACGTGTGTGTTGCTGGCATGCTGGGGTGTTCTGTGAGGTTGGGTGTGGGTTACTGGCGTGCCGAGGTGTTGTAAGAGTAATGGCGCTGTGGATACTTGTAGGAGGTTGATGTGTGAGATGCTAGTGTGGTTATGTGTATGGTAATGATATTCGTTCTGGTTTCTGCAGGGAGTGCACACGTGGGGGATTCTGTAATTTCATGCATCTGAAGCCAATTTCTCGAGAACTACGCAGAGAACTGTATGGACGTCGTCGGAAGAAGTGAGTAGACAGCAGTACTGAGATGCTTTGTACCAGCTTTTGAGTTTCCTTCATTAACAATATTGATTTTTTTGTGTTTTGTTTGTTTTTTTGGTTTTTCTCTTATGGACAGATTGCAGGGCAGAGTAGCAATAAACAAGTTAGTAATTTCTTCACCTTTGGGATTGGTTAGGGAGATTTGACTTTTTTGTACTTAAATCAATAAGAATAGAATGGTACTGTGTGAAGGACCCAACTGGGGCCTTTGTGGCCTTTCCAGCACCCCATGCAAACCTTTCATTGTGCAATCCACTGTCTACTCTCCTTGACACCTCAACCTCCGACGACTCCCCATATTTCTTTTTTTTTTATCAAAGACTGCACATTTTCTTTCATCCTGTTTCATTTCCCGATCCACCCTTCACCTCACCTTTTTAACACCTTTATCTTCCTAGGTTGTTCTCTCATTGTTTGCTTAACTTTTCAATGCCAACCAATGTACTGACCTCCCTCCATTTCTCTGTTCCGTTTTAGCTTGGTACCACAGCCCCCAAATTCTCAGTTTATCCTCTCATGCATATTCTACCACTTCGTCTATGTTCCAATCCTGTCTATCACTTGTGACTCCTAAGTGTCCTGTAAAGTTTGCAGATGGTCCCCTTTCAGACCACTGGGCCCATTCACTTTCATCATTAACCCATCCACACCACGATCACTGCTACATAACAGCCTGCGTTGGGCATCCTTTACTTATACACTCTTGTCTTTTTCAGGCATCGATCTCGCTCAAGATCCCGCGAACGCCGCTCTCGTTCCAGAGATCGTGGGCGGGGGGGTGGAGGAGGAGGAGGAGGAGGAGGAGGGGGCGGCCGGGACAGGGACCGTCGGAGGTCAAGAGACCGAGAGAGGTCGGGTCGTTTCTGAGCCAGCGTTTTTATTCCATGTTCTGGGACTTCCCGGGAGGACTGGGGGAGGGGGGAATGGGCTCTGTGCTCAACAGCCTGGGGGAATATTTTTCATTGTATTTTATTTTTGTTTTGTTTTTTTAAACTGGGCTTCTGATTAAACATTTGTAGTGATCGAGTAACAATACTAATTAGTCCCGGTGTGAATTTCTATCTTGGCGTTTTTGTGTTAACTGGCATTATTTTACCCAAAACAATGGAATTCTTGAAATGAAATATCCCCTAATTAATAAACAGTATTAGACATTGTAATCCAGGAAGAAGAATTATTGAAGGCTATTTATCACTAAGATTATAGTACTTTGAGATGTTTCCTACTTCATTCATGTTGTTTATGGAGTTTATTACGTAATAGGGCTGCACCCATTTAGTGCTGAGACCGGGTTGGATGACCTGACCATCTTATTACATTGAATCTGTTTTGTGTGTAAGCAGCTCCTGGCAGCGCACATTGCAGTCAGGCAGGAATTATTGTCCAAATTACATTCTGTACAGTGCCCCCCCTCCTCAGTATTCAGTCTCTGGCTTTCAAACATTAATTCTAACATTCATGGTATGTACAGTGCCAGAAAGGGCACAGGTTTCACCCCACAGCCCACCTGTAACAACTGCCACTATTTAGAATATCTATATGGATATAGCCTGTAAACTTTCCTATCCAGCAGAGTCCAGGTCCAGCTGTCCCAAGTCAAATATTAGAGACAAAGCAAATATGGTGAGCCAAATGAGGATCAGGAATGATGCATTAGGGGTTAGCGTATTGGGAGTTAGAAGAAGGGTTGGGGAAGGATGGGTAAGTAAGAGTTCCTTGTCCTTCAAAAACTAGACAGGTCCTGCAACACTTAGTGCAGATCATGTTTAAAGCCCACCCCTGTATCTCCCCTTTGACCTATAAAAACAGGCAACAGCAAGTATCCTCAGTATTTCTGTTATTTAAATTGTATTATTGTATCTATTAAGTACTCCAAGGCGAGTATGTGGCAGGGGCACAGGTTGCTTTTGACGGCTTTAGACACGAATGTATCATGTCTATATATAATCGCTGCTGGAGGCATGTGTGATAACCTGGCTATAATTGGGGGGCGTGCACAAAGAAGGCCTTGCGTCTGTCGTTGGTTATGATGAGTGAAAACCACGTTGACTGCTTCCTCAGTAAATTGTCATCGTAGGGTGTGAAATTCAGAAACCGGTTATGAAAACATTCTTGCAGAAATTTACCAAAGTAATTTTTTTGCCTTCTTTTTACTACTATTCACGGTTTAACTGCTTCACTATCAAAATAGAATATAAACTTTTATTTTAATATATTTTACAGAAATAAATCTTGTCCATAAAGCTTCTCTCATTTATACTATTAGTACCATCCTGTAGAGCAAGGGGGTGGTCTAATGTTTTAAGCAACTTTACACTCCTATTCCTCTACAGCAGGGGTTCCCAACCCAGTCCTCAAGTACCCCCTACCGGTTTGGGATTACCCAGTTGTATCGGAGGTGTTTTTAGAAAAAAAAAAAAAAACTTTACACACAACATAATGCCTTTGCATGATGCTCAATGCAAACATTGTTTTTCATGCTGTTGCTATTTTCAGTAAGGATTCTTACAAATACCTATAAGCAAGGTATTTGACCATTTTTATCTATTTTGTCACACCTACTGTATGTGAGAATAATTATAGTATGTTTGTGTTTATACTAATATTTCAGACCCTGTGTGAGTTATTGCAAGATAAAGGACACTGTATACTGTCTAAAGCTTTTAATTTCCCTAATGTTTTCTATAGGATGAACGAATAAGTGAAAGCTAAAAATGGTGTAATTTAGGGATCGACTGATTATCGGTTTTGCCCGATTTTTATTTTATTTTGGTAAGTATCGGTATCGGCCAATAATCACCGTCAATATCTATAATGAATGGGTGGGCCGGTGCGTCCATAAGGCGGCACAAGCGGTCACCTTAGGACGCACCGTCCCGTTTGACGCTAGATCGGAGTGACCGGCAGGAGGTGGGCGCGCAGCGTGGCCGAGTGGAGCAGTGCGCACCGTGGTACATGAACCTCTGTTTCCTTTTCACACAGATTGGTGATTACTTTGTATAGTGCGCTTACAAATGTAATTAAGTTAAAAATAAGCAGCTACACACTCTAGTGGATACTCTTATCCCCACTAATTATAGTAATGAACCAAAGTGAGCTTAGTACAATCTGGATATAACGTCCAGACTCTACTAATCAAATGAGTGGAGCGTTAAAGGTATAAACTTACCCTCAAATAGGGTTAAATCTCAGATGTATATCAGTACATATAAAGGAAACAAAAAAATAAAACACAATATATTGTAAATCCACAGGTGGTAATGTATTTTGGTGATAATTCAAGTAGTCAAACTCGCATTGATCGGAGCCTCAAAGGGACAGGCTCAAATCACTTGCACAGTAGTGTCGTATGGAGACACTGCACCCTTTTGCCTGGAATGGATTTCCTCAAAGGAGAGAGAAAGGCAGACTTCCTAGTGTATTAAGTATCAACCAAAATTTAAAAAAAAAAACAGTGGTTATGGCTGTGCTCACCTTTTCCTGAGCCAATGAGAACCTGGCTCTGGATGCTAGACCTGGGTACCTCTAGAGGGAGGCACCTGCCCTTCTTTAGCAGCAAGATGAAGTTAGAAGCTGATGGGACTTGGTTTAAAATACATACATTTATTGCAACTTTAAATATAAAAACAAAAACATAGAATTAAATAAAAATATCCAGTTGCTTCTATATAAGATAAAGAATGTCCCAGTAATTAGCTCCAGTCCCGAGACGCGTTTCACGAACACTATGAGCTGGACTGAAAGGAATTGCTCACTAAGAGAGCACTTCCTGTCAGTCCGGCCGGTACAGGAGACTGAATCTCCTGTACCGCGGTGCGCATTCTCGGCCACGCTAGCAAACACACCGGGGAGAGAGAGGGGCACTAAGGAAGGGGGGGGAGAACAAACACTATGGGATAGGACACACACACAGGGGAGGGAAGAGAAAAGGAACACTGGTGGGGGGCACTAAAAAAGAAAGGACGGGAATGGGGGGGCACTAAGAGACAGGTAAGGTGTGGGGAGGAGGGGAGTAATCTCACTACATCCACTACACACACACAAATATTCTTGAAAACCTAAAAATAAATCTGACTGGCATGTATATTTTGTGCATTACCACTTTAAAAATTTTGTTTCCAAAAAAATAAATACAATAAATGTACAGAATATCGGTTGGCTATCAGCCTGAAAGTTCACAGATTATCGTTACAGCTTTAAAAAAATCAACATCGGTCGATCCGCAGTGTAATTACTTCATTTTAATTTTGCCATTTTTCTGCAAAGCAATCTATACTCAAAATTGCTGTTTTATTATATGTCTATATGGGAGCTACATATCCCTTTGCTTCTATTAAATGTTTTTTTTTCCCCATTTTTTTTTTAATTGAGAAGTGCTTGGTAGTGAAGTGGTTAAAGGATCACTATAGTGTCAGGAGAACAAACTCGTTTCCTGTCACTATATAACCCTTAGGTCCACGCCACTCTCAGGGTCCCCCTCCCGCTTAAAACCCCTTCAGCTACTTGAGCACCAGGCTCCCTCGGCGCTGGTGACTTCTCCTCCCACTCCGACGTCGGCTTCTGAGTGGAGCGGAATGCGCATGCGCGGCCAGAGCCGCGTGCACATTAAAAACATCCATAGGAAAGCATTTCTCAATTAACCACATTTTTATTTGCGGATGAATACGTTACATTACCCCCACCTGAAGACTGCCCACCAGGCAGGCAGGACCAGATTTGAGAGAAAAGTTGGTGTGAAAAGAATAAATTTTATGGCCAGCATGGATATCAGAAGACGAAACCCAAGAACGATCAGCAGGCCCATACCCCCTCCAATCAACCAAATACTGTAAGGAACCACGAGAAAACCTGAAAAAAATGATGGAGACTTCATACTCCTCCTGTCCAGAAACAACTAAAGGAGGAGGGGGAACAATCGGACCTGTGTACCGACTGCAAACAAGCGGTTTGAGCAAGGACACATGAAAAGTATTAGGTATACATAAGGACACTGGAAGGGCCAGAGAATAAGAAACACGGAGGATTATCCTAACCACACGAAAAGGACCAAAGAACCTCGGAGCAAACTTCATGCTGGGAACCTTCAACCTGATGTTGCGTGAGGATAACCAAACCGATCACCCACCTGGTAAACTGGACTGGCACTCCGCCGTTTAGGCTCATGAAACATAAAGACAGCAGCCGCAGTTTCAAGAGCGGAGTGAACCTTAGTCCAGGTATCACGAATAGAGGTAAGCTGATCATCCAGAGTAGGGATAGCTGTATCAGAAAACACAGCAGGATGACGACCCGTATTGACAAAAAACGGACTATGCCCAGATGAGTCATGTGTAGCATTATTCCTTGGAAATTCGGCCCAGGGCAATATTTCAGCCCAGTTAGACTGTGTACTATTCAAAAAGTAACGTAAATACAGCTCGAGTTATTGGTTAGCTCTTTCAGCCGTACCATTAGTTTGGGGATGGTATGCAGAGGAAAATTAAAATTCAATGTCCAACTGTTTATTGAATGCCCTCCAGAACCGTGACACAAATTGGGAACCCCTGTCAGACACAATATTTTGAGGAATACCATGTAGCCTGACAATATCGCGTATAAATATGTGCACCAGGTCCTGAGACGATGGCAATTTTTTAAGTGGAGTAAAGTGTGCCATTTTGGAAAAATGGTCAACTACCATGAGGATGGTAGTATACCCACTGGAACTAGGCAGTTCAACAATGAAATCCATTGATAAATGAGACCATGGGATACTGAACAATCCACACGGAAGTTTATGAGGAACCTACAATTTGTGGCTTGGTGAATGGTGTCGGGAGCAAGGATTTGGCTTTATTTCTCATGGTAGTTCTGTTTGGAATGGAGAT